AAAAAAAAAAAAAAAAAAAAAAGCAGGGGCTTCTGTCCTCATGGTTTAGTCCCGTGTGAGGAGGAAAGAACCTTACCGTTCTGTTCTAGTTTCAGCGGCCTTATCCCAGGTTTAAATAATCACATCGTCCTTCTGGCTGAGTTCTGATCAACATCGGGATCTTTTGGTTCATGATATGTTTTTGAGACAAAACTGCCTGAGTGCGTTCAGGCTACTGTAACAAAACACCAGAGACCAGGCAGCTTATCAACAACAGAAATGTGTTTCTCACAGTTCTGGAGACTGGAAGTCCAAGATCGAGGTGCCAGCAGATTCCATGGCCAGTGAGGGCCTGCTTCCCCGTTCACAGATGGCCATCTTCTCACTGTGTGTCCTCACGTAGTGGAAGGGATGAGGGAGCCTCTGGGGTCTCCTTTCACAAGGACACTCCTCTCACCTCACCTCTCAAAGCTCCATCTCCTAACATGATCACCTTGTGGGTTAGGATATCAACGTATGAACTTGGGGCGGGTGAGGGGCACACATTGAGTCCATTGCAAAAATATACCCAAGCTGTGAGCACTGGCCTTTGTTGTCAAGGGGAGGAAAACACAAGGAAGGTTCCCCTCCGCAGACTGAAGTCTGAGTCACAGAACCTGAAGAAACACATGCGCTTCCCTCTCTAGGCTGACTCTTAGACTTGTCCCATTTTCCATTTTTTTCATTCTCTAATGTATGCACAACAGATGCTTGAGTTAAATTGAATGGTGTTGAATGCTCTCTGGATAATGGCTTTTTTTTTTTTTTTTTTTTTAAAACCAGACTTTTGGAACACCTAGTTGAAAAAGAGAGAGAGTACCAGAATCTTCTGCGGCAAACTCTAGAACAGAAAACTCAAGAATTGTATCACCTTCAGTTAAAATTAAAATCAAATTGTGAGTCATTTTCCACTTGCTCTTAGGTGTGTTTGTGGGAGAGACAAACTTTAAAATCTAGCTAATATTCTAGTTAGCTTTGAAGAAACAATGAGGTTATCTTCTGTTAATCCGGGACTCCAGTAGATTCTAGACTACTTCTCAATCATAAAAAGGGACTACTGATACATTCAACAACATGGCTGCATTATAAATGCAGTATGCTAAGTGAAAGAGCTAGATTCACAGCCAAGCATGGTGGCTCGTGCCTGTAATCCCAGCACTCTGGGAGGCTGAGGCTAGCAGATCACTGGAGCCCAGGAGTTCAAGACCAGCCTGGTCAACATGGCAAAACCTCATTCCTACAAAAAAATAGAAAAAAACCAGCTGGGCTTGGTGGATGGGTAGCTGTAGTCCTAGCTACTCAGGAGGCTGAGGTGGGAGGATCACCTGAGCCCAGGAGGTCGAGGCTGCAATGAGCCGAGGTCATGCCACTGCACTCTGGCCTGGGTGACAGTGAGACCCTGTCTCAAAAAAAAAAAAAAAAAGATTCACATACCATGATTCCTTTTCCTCCAGAAAAGGCAGAACTACAGGGACAGAAGCAGAATGGGGAGGTGAGGGGACTGATTGTAAAAGGGCACATGAGGACTTTTGGGAGTGACAATCATTTCTGTATCTATGCTGCCACCTTCATAGCATATTGGACACCTAAAAAGGGTAGTTTACTGCGTAATAAGTATGTCTCTGTCAACCCAACATTCGTTTTGGGCCACTTAGAAATGAGCTCCAGAGCTACCTCTTGGAATGTGGACTAGATAAACTCCGATGTAAAACCTCAACACTAAAACCTATTTCTTTGTAGGATTTCCAACGCAGTTAGGGATGTGATTCCTAAGGAAAGGCATTTGAAAGATGTGAGGGTAAGCATTTAAAGCGGTAGACCTAACATGTCAAATTCCAAACTAACTGAAGGTATCCTAGATGAGGAGGCTTCTCTTTAGAAAGTGAAATCTCAGAATTATGAATTGTGTAATACGTACTAGAGTGGCTGAGTGATACAGGGCTAATTCATCTCTTTTTCACATTATATTTACATTCTGGAATCATTTATTAATCCACCTGGTTACTTTTGAAGAATTTTATGGTTAGACTAATAGATAACAAATTGCTAATCGTTACAGGTATTACAGAGAACCCAGCAGGGCCCTATGGGCAGAGAACAGATAAAGAGCTTATAGACTGGTTGCGGCTGCAAGGAGCCGATGCAAAGACAATTGAAAAGGTAACTTTACAACAAAGAAATTCTTTGCTGTTATTACACAGCTGCTCAGCTCTTAAGGATTTGATCTTTGTTTCAGATTGTTGAAGAGGGTTATACACTTTCTGATATTCTTAATGAGATCACTAAGGAAGATCTAAGATACCTTCGACTACGGTAAGAGCCTCAAAACAGTTTGTAAAAGAGAACACGACTTTTTATGTGTGAATATGCTTAAAGCAGAAAACAAAGGGCTGGGTCTCCCCCCAAACTCTGGAGTTCTGCTAGGTTCAAGCTGGGAAAAAGCCAAGGCATGGCAGAAACTGAAAGCCAGGCAGAAGTCAGAAGTAGGAAGGTGACAGAGAAGAGCTGGCCAATTTCCTGCCATTAATGCCTGGCTGGGAGTGGGGGAAGGCACACAGCAAGCGTGCCCGCATGCTGGACCCACCCCCTTCTTTAAACTGCAACCTGCCTTCTTGTTCCTGAGTCATTTGAAATAGCCAGCTCTCTGCAGGTACGTACCTCTAAGGCCATGTCCTACCACTGCTGGGACACGAGCGTCACCTCCATATGTGAAGAGAATGTTTTGATTTTCATTAGGTTTTTAAGTTGGGGACTGCATTTTTAAGCTCTGTTGGCTTGAAGCTCTGACTCTGAAGACAGCTCTGTTTGTTTCCTAGGGGTGGTCTCCTCTGCAGGCTCTGGAGTGCAGTCTCCCAGTACAGAAGGGCTCAGGAGGCCTCAGAAACCAAAGATGAGGCTTGATACCAATCAGCTAAGCTGGAGCAGAGTGTGCCACCATGCTACATGTTTTGTTAAAGCTTCTGTTAGTGTACACACGAATTCTGCTGTTTACGTATTTAAAAATGCCATTGTTCAATTAATAGTTTAAGAACTTAAGTTTTAAACACTGTCCTGAGTTTCTTTTGAAACCTATTATTTATAAACATAGAACTGTGTGTATTGTGAAAACAGTGAGCCTTAGTTTTGACCTCCCGGAATATTAGGAAATTCACCTGTAGTCCCAGCTACTAGGGAGGCTGAGGTGGGAGGATTGCTTGAGCCCAGGAGATGGAGGCTGCAGTGAGCTGTGATCATGCCACTGCACTCCAGCCTGGGCAACAGAGCCAGACCCTGTCTCAAAAAAAAAAAAAAAGTACACCCTTTAGCACTTGCTGGAATGGTGAAACAAGGGGTGTTTAACATGGAAGCTGGGACACTGCTTCAGAACTGGTATGGTACTTAAATTTGATACGAATGTGCCTTGTAGTTAATGTTTGATATGAACAGAAAATAGCTTCATATTTATACTGAATGTGTAAGTAGAGAAAACTAAGTTATGTGGCCTTTGAAATGATTGTGAAAGAAAGAGTCTTATTTTAAAATGGAACTGTCCTCCTGCCTGATAATAAATATTGTGTCTTACAGAGAAATGATGGTCAGCGCAAACAGGCTGGAGCACCAACGCTGCTCGGAGCGGGTGCTATGGCAGAACACTGTGGGCTGTTACCACAAGCATGCCTGTGAGGGGCCCTGTGATTGATAATGGTCTCCTCCCAAAAAGGTGGCTGGGGGTGGGGGAAACAGGCACACAAGGTATTGTTCTTCCTTTTCATAGTTAGAGTATTTGTTCAACTATTTTAAGTCAAAAATAATCTTTAAGCACTCAATAATTCATCTTTTAATGCAACAATGTACAAAGTGCATGCAATTACTACCTGCTCAATCTACACACTTAGTCTTAATGGAAGTTTACAAGAATTTCATTGACTGCGTTTTCTTCCTCCTTAACCAAGTTGAGAACACTGGTAGCCCCCTGAAGGTATAACCTCCCCTTCTAGTCCCCTTAACTGACTGACTTAAACTTGATCCACTGATTGGCACCACGAACTTCGAAAGGTGGGTCGCTGGAGTAGATGTGGTAGCCCAGCTCCTCCAAAGGTGGCTCAGGATCGGCCGTGGCAAACTGGGCAGCATCCTCAATCTCCTTCCTCACTTCCACATCAATTTCCTAAAAATTAGGTAACAGTGTAAAAGGTTTTTGAATGAACAGCAGTTTAGGTACCAACCAGAGTTCTACGGAGGACCTGTTGCTGGTGTAACTCTTAAGTATGAACAGCTGCTAATTCAGAAGATTTTGGAATACAGATTTCTAGGGTGTATATTTTTTATGAATTAAAAATCCACAGTATACTTTTAGGAAAAAAGAATTATGCTACTGTGGGGGCTTTGCCACTGTGATGGTGGTTTACAAGTCCACCAAAATCTAAAGAGTAATACAATTTTGAATAGAGGAAACTAAAGGAAAAGCCCCCACCCCGAGGGGCTTCGGAATTATTTATGCCCCGGCACATCACTTTCTGGGCTTGGAGGAACCCACGCAAACGCTGTGGCCACCCAGGGGGTGGCAACTTTTTCTGTGGGAGGCAAAAAAAAGCCAACCTTCAAACCACCACAAACAAGTGACTGTACCTTTAGTTCTTCCACACTGGCAAGATTGCTGTTCACCATCCTGTCCTTGAGAAGCATAATAGGGTCACTCTTACTTCTTACTTCCTGAATTTCTTCTCGTGTACGGTAACTATGGGGAGGGAAAAGTAGTAATCGATCAGTAAGAACAGTTCCAGTAGAGCAAGGACAGCATGATGAAATATGACATGGGGTTGGATTGTCCCAATTAGGTGAAATACAGAAGTGTGTTTCTGAAACAAAGGGGCACATCAATGCTATGTCACTATAGGAGTGGCAGAGTTATACTTTCAAAATACCAGAGCACAGCCTAACATTCTGTAAGAACTACTGCTGTCTTCTAGAAAACCGTACGCTGGTAAGTCACATGGCTTCCCTGGCATTCCGACAACAGGGGCCAAGTTTTTGCTTGCTGCTTTGACTTAGACATAGGGGTCTAAAGAAGTGTCACTCATCCCACCCATTTGGGCTCCTGTATACTACATGGGAGGGGACAGCAGAGATGGTGTGTGTGGTGATAGATTTTAAGAGCACCAAGCAGGAAATCCACGTGCCTTGCCTTTCTCCCTTAAGTCCCCCTAAAGAAGCATAGCCAGCAAAACCAATGTATCTTACGCTTACATCATTTGAAGTAACACAAAGGATTCTACCATTTTCCACAACAGATTTACACAAAGTGGATCTATTCCATATACTGTGCTCTCTGTGATTTTCCCTTAGAAATCCACTCTACAAAGGCTTATTTATTCAACTGTGTCAACCCTGGGATTCCAGAATTACAGGCCAGAGCTAAGCAAAAAAGTAAAATTCATGCCTTTCTAGTGAAACCTAGCTTTTTTGATTGATGTATTGGAACGGATTGAACACCTAGTTACCCTTAGCTCTATACCAGACAGAAGAACATCTCCAAATTCTGATCCTCCTCAGGTGGAGTATGCCAGGCATGGACTTGGGGTAATGCCTACAAAAGCTAAATGCCCCCAAGATACTACACTACCATCGGTCTTGTTTTATGTAACAATTTTCCTGCACAATTAAGGTATATAACACTCTCTAAAAATTGCTGCTCGTGCTCACACACACTATACATTGTAGGCATTTTCAGTAAAGCTTTCTTATTAGGAGGCACTGCTTTCAGGTAACTTGATGCCAACACAACTGCATGCATGAAGTGAACTGGTATCTAGCTCCAAAAGCAAATATTGAAATGTGTTTCTTCTGCCATGTAACACCATTCAAAGCCCACCCCCTCTGGAAACCACACTGCCCATGAGCACACCTGACTCCAGGATCACTCATACTGTGTCCGTGGTAACGATAAGTCTGCAGCTCCATCAGGATGGGCCCCTAAAACAGAAGTGGTAGGCAGTTAGGAACGATGACGGGAAGAGCAGGCTGACACTCCACGGCCTCAAACGCAGGCCCTTTATTAAGCATCCAGTGTATTCTTACCAGATCTTTTGAGGTATCATGGATTTCTTATTGGTTGACTGATCTGTTCTCATTTCTAGCATGTATTGATTGCATATTTCAGTTTTCTCATTTATAATGAGGCAATCTACCAACAGCTTTTGAATCAAAAAGGCTTTGAAGGCCAGGTGTGTTGGCTCATGCCTGTAATCCCAGCACTTTGGGAGGCTGAGGTGGTTGGATCACTTGAGCCCAGGAGTTCGAGATCGAGACCAGCCTGGACAACATGGCAAAACCCCATTTCTACAAAAAACACAAAAATTAGCCAGGCATGGTGGCATGCACCTGTAGTCCCAGCTACTTGGGAGGATCACCTGAGTCTGGAAGGTCAAGGCTGCAGTGAGCTGTGAGTGTGCCACCGTGCAAGACCCTGTGAAAAAAAAAAAGGCAGCTGGGTGCAGTGGCTCACGCCTGTAATCCCAGCAGCGGGCGGATCACAAGGTCAGCAGATCAAGACCATCCTGACTAACACGGTGAAACCCCATCTCTACT